AGCCAAGCTGTGGGCACCACCACACGCACACACAGTAGCACACATGCAGCTTTTCGTCAAGCCAACATCGTGACCTGAATGGCACGATCCCAGAATCAGTGACACAGACACCTCAACCAACACGGCACGCACCTCTTCATCTTTGTAGACGGCAGCGGCTTGAATGCGCTGTTGATCCCAGCTTTCCAACAACCGCAGTGCCGCTTGTGGATCCGATGAATCACACGCCCTGTGCAGCTGGTATCCATCGTCCAAATTCATGGTCACGGGTCGCCATCAAACTCCTATAGCACTTTGAGTACAGACCAGCATCAGTGTCATCCAACACAATCTTCACACAAAAAGTCTGACATTGGACAAGCGCAAAAAAAAAAAAATGAAACCTCCCCCTCCAAAACGGCAGCCGGCCAACCAACAGCAGAGCCTTGCTCACTCCCTTCCTGATCAGCTGAATCAAAGCGCAAGCTGCTCACCTTGACCCGCTGTTCTTGACGAGAAGCATGCATAGCGCACGGCGTTGACCAGCGTTTTGTGAGGCGAGGGAGAGGGACAGTGCGCTCACAAACCAAAAAAAGGAAAAACAAAAAGGCAGCGTCCGACGCGATTCACCTCGGCCACACACGCTCGAGCGTCGCCACAAGCCCCAAGAACCAGCGGTCCACCACACCATTCACACGCAATCAAGCACAAGCGATCAAAGTCCTCCCCCACACGGGAATAGTCAGCGCAGGAGCACGACGGAGGAGCAAAACGAAAATTACAACAGTGATTCCACACAAGCAAAAACAACAACAACAAGCCAAACAAGCAGACAAGCAGAAAACAACATTTTATGGAGTGTGAGCAGCTGCTGCCTTAACCAGCAATCGAGCCACTTGATCGGTCATCACGATCACTGGCTTGTCGGGCATTCCAGAGTAGATGGTGGGCGAACGGGCCTCGCGCTCACGATGTTGGTGCTTCCTGTTCTTCTTCTTGTTCTTTTTTTCTTATCGCGCTTGATCTGAACACTCCTCGGGTGAGCCGGAGCGAGTTTAATACGACTCAGCGTGCTCGTCATGGTGCTGAGTATCTTGGCTGCCTTGCGGTGGCATTGCTCTCCGAGCCTTCAGAACACTGTCAATAAGAGGATAAAGAAGTGTAAAAGCAAGCACCAGACACGCATCTACTGCATTCAATTGCCACAATACCCTAGCTCAACCGGGGCCGATGGCCCACAAAACAAGTCCACCACACAACACCTTTGTCACCAGCTCGCACATCGCCACAGCCGCCACGACTGACAAACCATGGCCATCATGCAATGTCATAGTGAATGGAGACAGGGCGATTCCCTCCTCTTTTTCGGTAGTTGTTGGACTAGTCTGCTCCAGACGTTTGGCAAAGCCCGCCCTGTCCATTAAATTTACTTTCTGTTTGCATAGCAATATCGACAAGCCACCCACAAGGGTCACGCCTTCAATTCGTCACTGTAGCTTGAGCGGCGGACGTTAGAGCGGCCAAGCGGCCACCAAGGGTTCGTAGGTCGAGGATATTGAACAATTGAGGATCCACGCGCCAGCCGACGCCATAGAGAACAGCAACAGGACACCGCCAGCGTCTGACTTGCTCCGCATGAATCAAGCTTTGGACTGACGCCACGTTGAAATCCGATGAGAACAAGACGATGCGGACAATCGCATGGGAATCAGGTCCGCACCATTGGAGTTCGAAGTTTGGTAGGAGCAAGGGGTACGGGTTGCGCCCAATAGCTCTGCAATCACCTATAAAGTGAAACAGAGACATTGGTGAGCAAGCCTGACTCTGCAATCAGTACCGAAAAATAAAAAAACGGCCCACCTCCAGCTCGATGCGTCTCTTCCCAAGGAGCAGATCCAAGGGCCGTGCACCCGTCTGGACACAGCAGGCCGTCAGGTGTGAGTCGCAGGCGCAGCAGAGGAGCGTTTAAGTACGGCATTGTGTTGAAAAGCTTACAAGATCTCTTGCATCTGGGTCGGCACCGTGCCGCAAGAGTTGGTCGATAACCTTTTGGCTGGCAGAGAAGCCAGCGCAGGCTGCATGAAGCGGTGTTCGGCCGTCCTATGTGAGAATATCAATGTGCGGAAACATGAGGCCTGTTTGCGTTTGTTTGTTTTTTAGAGAGGCGGGGTTGATCATCGAATGTGCCGGGGGAAAGCTGAAGAAAAGCCCACTGAAAGCCGCTTGAGTCCGACGGAGGGCAGGGCGTCGAGGAGAGAGGGAGGAGGCAAAGACGACAAGCAGCGGGAGCAGGAGCAGCAGCCAAAGGGGAGGGAGTAAGAGGGAGGTACTGTACCAACGTTGTCCTTGGCTTTGGCATCAGTACCGTGCTGCAACAGCATCTCCGCCGCCTTGACATGACCGTACAGGCAGGTTTCGTGCAGTGGAGTCAAGCCAACCTGTGGGATGATGCATCAGCATGACGTGAGGTACGGCATCATCATCATCTTCATCTTCATCATCATCATCATCATCATCATGTGGTACCGGTGTACCATGAGTAAAGGGGCGAAAAGGGAGGTATTGTACAGACGTTATCCTTGGTTTCAGCAAGAGCACCGTGCTTCAACAGCATCTTCGCCACCTTAACATGACCCTTTTCGCAGGCAAAGTGCAGTGGTGTACAACCACTCTGTGGCATGATGCATCAGCGGCATGACGTACAGGTACAGCATCATCATTGTCATCATTCATTGTGTGATACAGGTCTACCATCATAGTAAGGAGTAAAGGGGCGAGAAGGGAAAAGGGAGGTACTGTACTAACGTTATTCTTGGTTTCAGCAGAAGCACCGTGCTTCAATAGCATCTCCACGACCTCGACACGACCCTTTTCGCAGGCAAAGTGCAGTGGTGTACAGCCACCCTGTGGGATGATGTATCAGCAGCATGATGTACAGGTACAAGATCATCGTCGTCATCATCATGTGATGCAGGTCGACCATCATAGAGCGGCGAAGAGACGTATTGTACTGACGTTATTCTTGGCTTTAGCATCAACTCCGCGCTTCAACAGCATCTCCACCATCTCAACATGACCTTTAGCGCAGGCAAAGTGCAGTGGTGTCCAGCCACCCTGTGGAATGATACATCAGCGGCATGACGTACAGGTACAGCACCATCATCGTCATCATCATGTGGTACAGGTCTGCCATCATAGTAAGGAGTAAAGGGGCGAAGGGAGGTATTGTACTACTGACGTTGTTTTCAGCTTTAGCATCAACACCGTGCTTCAACAGCATCTCCACCAGCTCGACATGACAGTCGCGGCAGGCATAGTGTAGTGGTGTCCAGCCATTCTGTGGCATGATGTATCGGCATTAAGGTACAGGTTCAGCTGCATCACCATCATATATGGTCCAGTGTACCGTCATACAATGGTAAAGAAGGAGGCGGAAGGTACTATACTCACGTTGTCCTTGGCTTTAGCATCAACACCGTGTTTCAACAACATTTCCACCACCTTGACACGACCGTATTGGCAGGCCCTGTTCAGTGGCGTACTGCCCCACTGCGGGATGATACATTCATGCAGCATGATCCTTGTTATAATACCATCACGTTAACACATGCAGTGATAGATTCATGTATCACCTCATTTTTGAATCTGGCAGCATCTTGAACACGTTGTTGGTCCCAGCTGCTCAACAGCTGCAGCGCCTTTTGTGGATCTGATGAACAAGACGCCCAGTACAGCTGCTCTCCATCGTCACTCATGGTAACGAACGGTAACTGCTTCTCCTCTCTCTCACCATGCTTCTCTCGCTACCACCAATCTCATGAGCCCCCCGAGGAGCCCCCTATTCGTCTGGCAACCCAAAATTACAACCCAAAATTCGGACTCGAGTCGTCGAGCAGTTTCCGAAACGGCAGCCGGTCAGCGGGCCTTGCTCTTCTCTGTCTGATGCGACAAACGCCTTACCTTTGGAACAGTTCCCGGTGACAGTTGCGAGGACAGGTGTTCTTGCTTGCCCAAGTGCACGCTGACGACTGCGAGGCGAGATCAGTGGCCACACGGAAAAAAAATGGCGGCGATGCTCTCAACCAAACGTTCGGGCGTCGCCACAGACCCCCGACCAGAGATTGCCCGTAGCAAGCACAAGCGTTTAACCACGATCGGCAATTTTACGCAGGCAAGGCACGTCGAGCAGCCCACCAATGTCTATGCCGATATCGATGCCGAATGTCAAAAAGGTGAAGAAAGAAGCAAAAGGTGAAAAATAAAAGCAAAGCACAAACACAAGTTCTTGCTTTTTTTCTTGTAATGATCACAACAACTGTTTTAGCTACATCGAAACAAGTGGATGGTGCGAGATCCAATTTTGGCGCCACAACGTCACGAACAGCAGCGCAATTAGGACGCGATCCGAACCTGATCAGGACCCGAATCAGTGCGCGATCAGAACTTGATCAGGATCCAAATCTGTGCGCGGTCAATGCGCAAACAACGCCCCTTCCAGGTAAGCAGGGGGGCACCGCCATTAACATCGCAATGGCAGCGCTCGGGTTGGATGAAGGCGTGCCAGTGGGTGTGAGCGCCAGCTATTTGCGCGTGCTCGAGCGCGAGCTACAAGATGCATTTGGCGATGCCTACACTTCCCTCAGCACGGCAGATGTGTGGGCCGACTTTATCTGTCCTCGAACACGGGACGCCCCGTGCGCTTGGACTCGTCATGTGGCTCAACACGCCTTGTGCGAGCAAGAGGATCTGGCGGCAGCGACCGTGTTTGTATCGTATGCCCGGTCTAGCAATTTTGCTACAAACCTTGCGATCATCCTTGATCACGAACAAGACAACGCTCTTGGCGCTTATTATTGGTGGGATATTCTCTGTCACAACCAGCACGATCGCTCCGCAACTCAGTTCGATGAATGGTAGGTTGCTTGGTCTCAACGCTTGCCTCAGCTGCGTCTTTCACGATGAATCGCATCCCCTCAGACGGCATCTCGTGATTCGCCAGGTGGCAGCATACCTTCCCAGACATGATTGCGCAGTGCCAGCGGCTGGTCGTGCTCCTAGGCACCTGGCGTGACCCTGTGCCATTTAAACGCGCTTGGTGTTTATATGAGATCCTTTGCGCCCTCGACGGTGAGCTGGAGGTGGATATGCATCTGCCCCCCAAGCAAGTGGAGCTGTTCCTTGCCGCCTTCTCCGAAGAGGCAGATGTCATCGAGACCTTTCTTCGGATGCCTCAGTCTGCTACATCTCAGGCCACAGAGTCTCTGGACCAGGATCACATACTTAGGTGTATAGAGGAGCGGGGCGGGTTTGATCAGCTTGACAGTCGGATCCGCGAGCGCATGCAGCCATGGTGCCTCAAGCAGGCACGATCGGCCATTCAGCGTTTGGAGGCTGCGGGGCCCAGTCGATCCCTGGCTCGGCTTCGTGGCCTCGTCTCCCACGTGTTGACGCGATTTGACGTGCTAGACGAAGCCATGAAACAGTACAAGAAGAGTCTCCAGCTGTACATTAACCTTCTGGGAGACGATGAACCAGAGAAAGCCCAATGTTATTGCTACCTGGCTCAAATATGTATCCACGAGAAAATGTTTGCCACAGGTTTAGCCTTGTATGAAAAGGGCCTGGCCCTTCTTGAAGGTCAGGCAAACATTGAGGCTTCTTACGATATTGCCGTCGCGCAGGCTGGCATGGGAAGCGCGTGCTTACAGCTGGGGGACGCAAGCCGGGCTGTCAATCTGTTGCAAACAGCCATCAATGGCTTATCCCCGAGTCCCCCAAGTGCCGAGTTTGTTGTGGCGCAGCACTGCCTGGGGCGCGCATTAGCCGAACAGGGCGAGCCAGTGAGGGCCAGCAAAGTCTTGCGTGAAGCAATGGAAACTGCAGACCTGGTAGACATGCCAGAGTCAGAGCGTTCGAGTCTGCGTGCGGCCTTGCACTTCCACCTAGCGCAAGCTTTGCATCAGCAGAGCCTGCCCACGCAGGCGCTGGATCATGTCGAGGCCTGTTTGGCGATCGAGCTTTGCAATTTGGGAGAACAGCATGTGGACCTTGCCCCCACTTATCACCTGCGTGCTCTTGTGCAACAAGCACTTGGTGAGCTAGATTCGGCCCTAGCATCCTTCACGCAAGAAGCTGCCATCTGGGAGGCTTCTGACTGCCTTGACCATGTGGCATTAAGCCAGGCCTACGGCGCCATTGGCGAAGTGTTGAAGGAACAAGGCCAAGGAGAGCGAGCACTTGTGCAATTTCAAAAGGCATTAGACACAGCCATGACAGCCGCCAACCCAGACCGCTTGAACCTGGCCCAACTCCACGACAAGTTAGCGAGCGCCTATCTACACGAGGGCCAGCTTGATCAGGCGGCCGAGCATGCTCGGACCTGTCTGACGGAGCAACAAGCATTGCTCGACGAAAACGATGCAAGCCTGGCTACCAGTTACTTCCAGTTGGCGTCTATTTATCGGCGTCAAGGCAAATTGGCAGAGGCGCTCGAGCTATATGAGCGTGATTTAGAAATTTCGCTCAAAGTGCACGGCAATGAGCATGGCGATACCGCACTCACCTATTTTCAAATGGCCATGGTCCTCCACCGTCTCAAGAAAGATCACAGAGCCATCGAACACCTGCACCACTGTCTCAATTGCTGCATACCCGCCTTGGGGAAGTTTCATGAGCGCACCGCTGACGCCTATGCCTGGCTAGGCATCTTGTACAATATCAAGGGCAATTTGCGCTCGGCGGCACACAACCTGAAGGAATGTGTGGCAATTCGATTGCAGGTTCTTGGCAGCGAGCATCCAGATACCTTACTGGCCCAGGAAAATCTCAAGCGCGTTCAACAATTCAGCAAGGCCTCGTGATTTGTGAAGCCTGCTGCCAGGGCTTTGGCTTCTAGCCCGGCCTTGGTGACTCACAAACTTGTATTTATACTGTGTGGAGTCCTTTGTTGCTCGGTTCTTTGGGCCCGGGGCCTGGTGCGTGTCGTTGATTTGTGAATGTGTGTAAATTGGAGCTGGAACACAACCAGGCTATGCGGCCTGAATTCAACCAAAAGCATGGAGCAAACATCTCTTTAGAGCTATAGTATGGCCAGGCGTTCCTCGAGTGCATCAAGCGTGAGCTGGTCGAAGCTTCTGGTGGCCCCAAAGATCCAGCCTTGGTGAAATAATGGGACGAGCCGCTGTCGGGCGTACCGGGCCTTGGCCTGTCTCAGCATGTCGGCCAGCGCTGGCGCTCCACAAGCTGGGGTCTGGAGGGCAAACCCTCGGGAAAAGAAGGTTTGAAACACTGGCCAGGCCAGTGCTAAGACCTAGCACACGCATGGGACAGACGTTGGGTGTCGCAGAGCGACGCCTCGAGCAAAGGCAACAAGACCATACCTGGGCCCGACGGGTTTCGACTGCCTCTCGGGTGTATTGATTCTCAAGCTCTCGCACGTAGCTTTGCAGCGCATTCAGGTTGTTCTAAGCGAGGTGCCGAGCATAGACATGAAAGGAACCAAAAACCAAGGAAACCGGATCGCAAAAGAATACGCATGTTGGGTGTACTGGCGAGGTCACGTACAAAGCCAAGGAGGTTGACATCGGCACCGGCACGCAGCAGTGTGGCAACCACATGGTGTGCTGCTTGACGGCACGCAATGTGCAATGGCGTCTCCTGAGACTGCTCGGGTCCAACCCACAAGTTGGTGACCCAGACCAAGTGCCGACAAATGAGGCAAACTATTTGGTCAAAGCTATGGACGGTCCAACTAGTGCCTTTCGAAGCCGTTGACGAAGCGGCTCACCTCATCAGCGGCGTCGATGGATCCACCGGCGAAAATGAGAGCTTCCAAAACCTGATATTGGGCACCATAAAGGACGGCAAGGTGGAGAGGGGTGCGGCCCGTCTGGGATTCAAAATCACCACCCAGGAGCTGGCATGAGCACATGCTTGCATTGATTGCGATCAACTTGACTTGACTAGGGCACAAAAAATGATTCGGTTCACTCACGATATCGGCCACCTTTGGGTCGGCCCCGTGCTCGAGAAGCAAGTGAACCACATGTAAGTCGCCGCCATGAGCACCACAGTGCAACGGTTGCAGCCCATCCTGAACCGGAGATTTGGGACCAAGCACGTGAGCCTTGGGGGGGCGAGCAAGCCATTCGCGTCCCGAGATGTCATACCTCGTTCTGTGCGTCTACGCGAGCACCCGCTTGCAGCAGAGCACGGACAGCATCAACTTTGCGCCTCCGGCATGCCACGTGCAAGGGCGTATTCTGCCACTACATTGTGCAAAAGACCACGGGGTCAAGAGGCATACCCTGTGACGCACTCACGAGACACAGGCTACGTACGACATCACTGGCATGAACATCTGCACCGGCCGCCAAGAAGATGGCAGTCAGCTCCGTTTGCCCATAGATGATTGCAAGGTGAAGCACAGACTGTTGACGCTAGAATGGGCCAATTGGCAGTTGGGTCAGCCCGAGGCTGTGCGTGGCGCCTAGCTGCAAGGTGGATTTGGCGTTTGGGTACCTTGTCTTTACAGTGCAAATCAGCACCGCCATCAAGCAAGGCTTGGACAACCTGTGGGTGCCCTTTGCGACACATCTGCAACAAAAGAGGCAGGGACGCCTGCGACATTGTTGTCCGAAGAAGGCGGTGAGCTTTGACCAAGCGAGCCGCGCGCGGTCCAGCCAGGGAGGCAGATATAACCTCATCGCAACAGTCAAGACGTGCACCAGCAGCAAGAAGAATGCGTGCAAGGTTGGCCTCGTTCTTGTGGCAAGCCAGCACCAAGGGTGTTTGTCCAGACTGAGAGTTGGCACAATGGGGTGAGCTGCAAAGGTGTCTCAGCGGGAGGGCATGTCGGCTGACGAAAAGCCATTTTTCCACTGACATCGTTGAGCGAATTGACATCAGCACCAGCCGCAAGTAACGTCCGTGCGACGTCCTCGTGCCCTCGCGTGCAAGCCATGTGCAGCAACGTCCCCATGAGCTATCAAATTCGGTCGAATAGCCGCATGTACATGCCTGGTGTGAGACGCGACACCCACAACAACAGAGCCCTCCGTCCCTCCGACAGTCAAGACAAAACAAACCGCAGACACTTCGTTGGGATTGGCGCCTGCCTCCAAGAGCAGCCTCACAATCTCGGCTTGACCCTCCATGCATGCTTGGCAAAGAATTGAAAAGCCCAGCTGGAAGCAAGTCATCCCCCCGCCCGCCCAAATCATTCAACCCCCCCCGCAAGGCAAGGACGAGATGAGTCAGGAGCCAAGAGCTTGCCGAGAAAGCCAGATCATAGGCGTAGTCGAACATGGATTGTGTCTTGAGCGGCGGCACGTACCAGATCGGGGTAGGCTTTCAGAGCAGCTGTGCGCTGTGAGGCCGTCCAACTGCGCAGCGTGCCCAAAGCTTCGGCCGCACGCTGCGACAAAAGAGCCTGCAAAATGGCCGCGCACTGGTCCCGACTCGGCAACCCCTCCATGCTGCCAGAAGATACCACCTCTCCCCTACTACAACCGCGCCTCTATCCCACGCTCTGCCCTGCCTGGACTCGACGAAGGAGGGGATCAGCGCCGTTTGGCGATCGATGAGCGTCAAATGCAAAAAAAAAAAAAACAACGCACAGCACACATAACCTTTTTTTCTGACATCTTTGTCATCCTTCTCCCTTCGCTTGCGCCATCGGCCATCGGTCGGGTTGACCCGAGTCGGGCAGATCCCGGAGGCTTTTTTGTCATGATCCTCGCGATCCTCGTCATCATCAACAGCAGCAGCAGTAGCAGATTCAACTTTCGATTAGATCAAATCCAGATGAAGAAAGAATATTAATATGATTACGCATGACACAAAAGATGGGAGGATGAGAGCGCCGAGCGCTCACAATCAACCATGTCCCTGCATCATGACTCCCTTAGTCTTGCAAAATATTCGCTCCCGCTCGGCGAGGCGAATTACTCCGGCAGCCACGCAACACATGAACGACCACACGGTACAGCACTACACCAAACTGGAGCCGCGGCGTCGAGGACTCGCTGACGGCGATCTGACGGGAGAATGTTTTTGTCTCTCGGCACTTGGCCCCAAGCTACGATCGATGACCGTCAGTTCGGTGGCATCGCCAGAAACAAGCAGCGTGTCCACTTCGACCAACGTGTGCCCCGACAATGTCTCATCGCCCACATCGTCATAGGCCTCGGCGGGCGTGTAGCCCCCGCTGGGCATTGCGAGAAACGATGTCCGCGCCATGTGATCTTCAGCGCCAGACGTGCGGCGGCTGCTCTCATCTGGCGACTCCGATTCATCCTCTTCTGATGAATCCATGGGATTCATCGCCCCGGCAAGGTGGTGAAACCCAGGTCCTTGATCGCGGCTCTGCGCCAAGTGAAGTGACGCTCCGCTCCCATCAACGTCCTCAGTCATGACCGTTACCCCTGAAGGCGCATCTCCATGCGTTGACATCAGGCTGCGATCCATGCGCTGCAACTTCGTCAGGCGATCCACCACTTGCACCATGGTTGGTCGATCAGCCGGAATGGTCGCCCAACAATCCATACACAAGCGCCAAATGTCGCCTGCATCACATTCATCGATTTAGAAAAGGCAAAACAAGAGGAAGATTGTGAGCAACGGGATACTAGTGTGATCCGGCCAGAGTGAGACCACGCTTTGTGGCGGCCAAGACTTACGGTTGCAACCCATGGGTTGACTGAGACGATTGCCTTGAATTACATAAGCCCACACTTGCTCGTTGTGCAGCCGACGGTACGGAAGTTGCCCGCCACTCCAGATCTCAAACACCACCACTGCCCAGCTCCAGACGTCCGAGGCTTGAGAAAACTTGAGCTCAAGCAAAACCTCACCCGGGCACCAGCTGACACAATCAAAACCAGGCAAAGAGACATCAGGCACATGAGAGGGCACAGCGTGGACATGCGCCTGCCAACAACACAGAGCAGTCGAAGGACATACCGAACGGCAATGGCCCGGCCGTGGGCAATATAAAACGGCGAGTCCCCGTTTGGCTGCTGGCGTGTAAATCCAAAATCACCAATCTTGGCATTCATGTTGCTAAAATAACAGTCCAGATCAATACCATCAAGGATAAAGAAAACAAAAAGAAACAAAAGTTAGTGTGGCACAACCTGTGGCAGTGAAGCCCCTCTTGCAACGACATGCGGCGGGCGTACCTGTCGATGAGGATGTTGCGGCCGGCAATATCGCCGTGCAAGCAGCCTACAAAATATCAAATTCACGAGTGAATCCGAGCATGGGCGTGACAAGCCTGTTGATGTTTCATAGATGAGCTTACCCTTGTCGTGCACCTCGGCCAGGCCGCGTGCGACATCCCGCGCCAGGCGAAAGCGCAAGCCATTGTCCACATCGTTCTCTCGAACAAAAGCATCCAGTGCGCCATGCTCGCAATATTCCATGACCATGATGGGGGGAGATTTGACGATGCCATGTAATCGCACAATGTTAGGATGGTTGAACTGGTTCAGAATGACCGCCTCTCGGAGCTGTACAACGCACATGACACAACGCTTGAATCAGACCAGCTGTGCATAGAGTTCCGCCAGGCGCAAGCACAAGAGTACGCACCATGGCCATGACCAATTCCTGCGTATCATTCTTCATCGTTTTGACAGCTACCAGAATCGGTGTCGCTCCTGGTGCACAGGTAGTGGAAATCGCGGGTGAAAATCACACTGGCAAGGGCAGGCTGCAGGCATCGCAGTTTCAACCGCACAAATCATCTTTCATGTCGAACAACATCAACCAACCTTTGTTTTTGAGATACGCCTTGTTCACCATGCCCATGGAACCTTCTCCGATTGGCTGTCCACCAAAATGAGATGAGCAGAAAAGAGAAATAACCCGCAACAGAGACTCGTGAAGTACCATTTGTGCACGTGTTTGTGGCGTGCAGATGGTGGCATTCAAGGGACATACGTTGAGAAGTTCAATGTGACGACGAACAAGCTCAACGGGTGCGCAGGCGTCATCGGAGCCGACATAGTATCCCTGCAAAAGGTTTGGCACGGCCATGCTTCCCTTGAACGTAACTCGGCGCAAACGCCTATGACACCGCACGTATGTACAAGAATGACATGAGCGTGGACTCTTGAACCGAAAGCATGCAAGCCGACGCAGAGCAGGAATGCCACGCACTGGGATTGGTTGCGCAGGAAGATCAGATACACGAGGCCAACCATGATACAAATGGCGACGAGGACAATTAAAACAATCAGCGGCGGGCTAAGGGTTTGAGAGGAGGAGGAAGTTCGAGATCCGCTATCGATGGTAGATCCAATAGAAGCGGGTGTGGTGGCCCTGGTGATGGCACTCGTCGTTGTGTTGGGCGTCGAAAACAGGAGGTCCTGACCCACAAAGATAGTCACGTTACAGGAGCGCGTATTTCCCACTTGATCGCGGGCCGTTCGTTCCACGTGATAAATCCCAACTCCCAGATACAGTGGGTCGATGGGATCCAGCATGGCCGACCCTGAGTTGTCCGAAATTTCCAAGGGGGCGGTAGCGGCATCGGTCACCAGGATCGACATGTTCACGTCCAACTCGGAAGAGGGAATGATGAGGGGCGGTCGGCATACTACGTCAGGTGCAGAAACGTCCTTGCTTGCCACCCGAAAATTGTTCAAGGCGGCTGCTTCCGTGGCCGTGTGGGTGGAGACATCAATGAGGAGCATGGTAAAGTTGAGAAGCTCTGCGTCCGATTGAATGCCGCTGGGAAAGAGCACCTCGATGTAAAAGCTATCAAATTGCACCCCCAACTCCTGCTCGGTGATCTCAAAGTACCCCGAGCCACGTGCATGCATAACGTTTTCAAAAAAATAAGAATTGGAGTTGCGAAACCATTCCGGGTACAAATAGCGAGGCTCTTCCGTCGTGAGGGAGCGCAAATTGACGGCCACGGTCGACAGCACCACCGATGACGCGCCGGCATATGTTTGCGTGCCGTCTTGTAACTGCAGGATCAGTGTGATGTCAATGCTGCCAGTCGTGGGCCACATTTGAAAGGTATGACCTTCCTCGGCAGCGACCAGAAAGCGGTGGCGATGCACGGACGTGTTGAGACTAATGTTGGTGGCAAAAGGCCCAGTTTGATTCATCGAAAGGATGGGGACCACCCAGCCGTCCGAGGCGCCGTACGGAGATGGCTTGGCAGGAAATATTTGCACGGGCACGCTACCATGTACGAGTTCGCTGTCGACCCAGGCCGTGTTGTTGACGGTGATGATCATCACGCAGGTTGCTTCGTTGCCGCTGGGATCAAAGGCCTTGTACACGGCAGTAAAATCTAGCTCCCGCCAGCTGTAGAGACCCGGAGCGTGATTACCCACCACGGTCACGGAGCCCGAGTCATCAATGGCCGTGGGAATGACCCATGATAGATTGACCGTATCGCCCAGACTGTGCACCGTGATAAACTGATTTTCACACCAGACAAAGGTCGGGGGCTTGGTGTCCCCCAGGGTCGCCACGGCAGCATTGGCATCGTCTGTTTGAATGGCCACGTACGCTTTGGGCCGCGCCATGGCCAAGGTCGTGTTGCCCAGCTCCTCGGCAAGGCCATCGACATTGTGATTGTAGACGTAGAACATGGCCCGAGAAAACGTGACCACAACGTTGTCAAAGGGTGCTTCGACCTCCAGGTGAGCACAAGCCGTGGTTGGCTGCAAACGAATTCTGGCAGTCGCATTAAGCACGCGGGGATTGTAGTTAACGCCCAGATTGGACGGGGAGTTGGTGGAGAGGCGCACGCCAAGATAGAGCTCGGCATCGATGGTAACGCGCGTGATCCAGGGATCAGTGACACTCGGGTGCGTCGGACAAAAGTAGGATTCAAACCTGAACAAGGCCCCGGAGCAGCCCTTCATTGTCGTATCCACCGTCACGTGATCTGCAAACTCAAAAATCTGCGAAACGCCAGAGGAGGCGTCCAGAAGTTTGGGTGTGCGCGAGAGCGTGCCACCATTGAAGGCAGCAGTGTCGGTCATAAAAAATTGCCTGAGTGTGCCTTGATCATGCATCCGTCCAAGACTGCTAACGTAGCTGGTGCGAGCCTGCCCGCTGAGGATACAACGCTTGAGCGTCAACACGTCGTCTGAGGTGCTGGTCACCATGCGCACGTAGTAGGTTTGTACACGGGAAACCGAAGTTTGCGTCTCTGACATTGTGTAGGTCACATTGACACGGCCTATTCTCGCCGAAAACAAGGGCACAATCGATGAGGCGCTGGCAAAACGAACAAAGGGCAACGAGGCGATCGGCTTTTTTTGTTTTGTTTTATTTTGTTTTTCTTCTTTTAAGCTGTTTATTGTTTTTCGCCTTCTCGGGGTCTTTTTGGCTCTTTTTTTGCCCCTTGGTGATTTCATGTCTCTTTCAAAGCAATGCTCGGCTCAAAAAAAAAAAGCCCACGGACCTTGGAGGTACGGATTGATGATGAGTTCCTCTGAAAATAGACCAATCTCCGATTCCAGGCAATCAGGGGGGTAGTGGAGCACGACCTATATCGATGACATTGCGGGTGAGTTGGATGATAGCTCCGTTCGTGGTAGCAAGGTCCGGGCGCAACCAATAAGATGGGAGCAGAATGACTCGATTAGAACGAGGTCGATAAACGAACCGGTTCACAAACGGCGGTGGTCCAAGACCAAGTGTGTGAGGGGCATTTGATGCACTCGTTGTCCACAGCCACCGAGCCGGTTGAGCAGGGCACGCACACATCGGCAGCTGCCGATGGAATCTGAGCACGATGGGCAACCGAATGATGGGTAAGTAGGATGGGGATTAGGAATTGTGAGTCCTTCTTTTCGGCTGAGCAGAGATGGTTGTGTTGAGCACGACGTACCGAATTGTCCGTGCACTTGACGGGCGGCGCAGCACCACCTATGTTTGTATCACAACGACATTTTTGACAGAATCCCGGTGAGTCGCTGACCCTCTGCGTCTCGCTACCTGCGCTTGCCAGAGTCGCGTGCACCAACCAGCACAAAAGTAGCCAGGGGGGCAGAGATGAAACTCGTTGATGCCGACTCCCGTCCAATGGGCAGGGCTGTAAGCACCCGCATCCGTGGTGTTCCCAGCCAAGCCCGTGGTGATGCGATCCAAATTGCGAACACCTGAGATTTAGCCATAATGGGAATGAGGACGATATTCATGAATATCAAGTAGCAGCCCGACTGTGGGGCAAGCACGTATGGAGAGGCGTTGGCAAGGTTGGAAAATGCGCGCGGTTGCCAACACGCACCGTAATAGCCTTTGGGTACTCTTTGGCACTGGGAAACGGAGACGGCGTTGGAGTACAAGACACCGGTACCTGGGCACGGGAGAAAAAAGGCAGGCAGTGAGAAGGGAAAAAAAAAAAAAAAAGAAAAAAAAAAAAAAAAAAAAGAAAAAGAAAAAAAAAAAAAAAAAAGGCTCGACCCTGGCGACGGTTTCAAAGCTGCGATTTCTGTATTCTCGTCGGGCTCGGGTGGGTTTGCTTACCAGTAGGACAGGGCACGCAGCCGTCCTGAATGCCGTAGTAGCCGGCTGGACAGATGTTACGTGCCCGACAAAAGCCTTGGCCGCGGCGGGAGATGGCCCTAAATAACAGGTGTGATTAGACTCGCGGTGGCTGCGACGCCGCCATGGGAGTCAAAACTGGTGGTGGGCCACACAGCAGCAAGGAGGGCATACCCGAGCTTGCAAGGGGACGGGTAAAAGGCCGGAGGCAAACATTCAAAGTTGGCTGGACAGTGCCGAACGGTATTGGCAGACTGATTGGCCCAGGTGTTGGTGACGATATCAGCAGGCCAATAGCCCAAGGTCACGGGGTAGCAACGAAGGCTGCTCGTGGAAAGGCCGTTGTGGCTGAAGTAGCCTGATTGGCCAAGTGAGAAAGAAAGCAGAGGAGGACATGAGATGCAGTGACAGAGACACACACTCACGCGCGCGCGCGCGCGCAGAACAGACTCGCGGGGTGAAAGCTGCGCACCTTCTGGGCAAGGGTGAATGTCATCGGCAGCTGCATCGTAGTACCAGCCGAGCAGGTGCTCACGAATGTGGCAGACGGCACCAGCCCAGCCGGAAAAACATTTGCAGGAGCCGGTGCTGCAGTCGGCGTTGGTGGGGCAGGTTTTGGGGGAGGCACAATTGCGGACCGGGATGGTGCAGGAGACGCCAGAGAATCCGGAATGACATTCGCAGACGTCAAAGCTACCGTAACGGTAGATGGCGCCGTTCACACAGGGAATGGCGGCGTGCGCTGGCTGGGCCAAGAAAAAAAGTTGAAGAAACACAAGGCCCACCAAGCTGATGGCCAGGGATCCGCTCCCCGGTCTGTGGGACGGGCCGAGGCACGAGGCCGGCATGGCGATGGGCCACGCAGCAGCCAAAGCCAAGGATGGAGCGATAGCAGCAGCAGCAAGAAAACAGCAAGGAGCAGCTTGGCAATGCTGTGATCGAATGGGTAAGGAGAGGAGGCCGAGCGACAAGCAATGGTGAGACTGTGCGCCAAGGCTTTGTGGGACAACGTCGTGCGCATCGAAGCGAAGACCGACTTGAGTGTCACTCAGGTTTGCTGATCCCCCATGACGGGTGCGGAAGTGTCGCAGCAGTCTGGCATACCAACCGCCCGTCAGCGCGCGTGTATGAGAATAGATGCCCACAGCATGACAGAGCGAGAGCAGCGAGCGCGGCGCCGTCAAGAAGACATGATATCACCAACGGCCACCACGGCACCATTCAGACATACCTCTGGAATCCGATCAAGACAAATCAATACGGCAGCGGCGAGGGCACCGGACGAGTAGAGAGACGCAAGAAAGTACAGCAGGACCAAGATGCGTCAAAGAGGGACGGACCCAAGGCGCAGAGGCACAGAGGCGCAGAGCGCGCAGCGGTGATGCGTCGCGTCACAAAGGTCGGCACGGCACGACACGGACAGCGCAGCGTCCGGAGGAAAATACATTTCTCACTCATGGTGTGGCGGGAAGTTGGGCTGTGCGATGTCGTCGTATTTGTTGATCTAATCTCTGGGTCTTCGGGGCTTGCGCGAATTATCTCTTCGTGTTTGTGGGTTTTGTGTCAGCTCTCTGGAAAGTTGGTTTGATTCAAAGTGTATCTCTGATTCCTTGTGTTTTACTGTTGGTTTTCTGACATTTACTGCCTCTCCCTCTGCTTCCCTCTCAATGGTCGACCACCGTTCCCCTTCTGTCTCTCCTGTTTGCCCTCATCCTGCACCTTTCTCTCTTCTGACCTCCCATCTCTCCCTCTCTCTCCATTTGGTCCTGCTGTCTAGACAAAAGAAACACTTTTTGTCACCCCATCAGCCACTTCTCTCCTCTCTCTTTCTAGCTCTTCAATCCCTCTCTCCCTCTCTGGAATGTCGCATGAATCTCTTCTTTCTCTGCCTAGCCGTTCTTTTATTCCTTACTTGACAACAAGATCAGCACCGTCTCTCTTTCACCGGTCCGAGCCTCGCAGGTTCTCTTGCTGACCCACACTCATCTCGCTCCCTCTCTCCCCGCTTGCATGATCTGACGCACCTTTCCGAGCATCACGACCTTTCGACCTCTTGGCCAAACAGGCTCCTTCCCCCTCGTTCCCCTCACAATCACCGTACCCTTGTACCCTTGAGTCGTTCACACGACCAATCATCACACCTGCGCCACACGTTCTGTCCCGTCGCTGACTAACATGTAGTGGAGGTGGTATGGGCCTAAAGGGGTTGGGGCAATCGACGTTGGGTCATTGACAAACACCCCTTAACTCTGGCGAATTTGAGGGGGAGCCGACGCCACTTGGTCCCACCAACGGGCAAAGGCGTTTGCTTGGGGATGAGGAAACATGGTTGGTCTCTCCTCCGCTAACAGGCGTTTTGCGGGGCCTGCTGGGGTACCGCGTACGTTTCATGACTTCGGCCGGCTCCACCCAAACCAGCCAGGCCCACAGTTTCACAATCCATTTGCCCTCCTGCACAAGAAGCGGAAACGGTGAACATTGTCGAACCAGATGAGCCACAACCGAGCCACAGCCAAAGCCGGCTGTGTGCGCGCGTGTCTGTGTGTGACCCAGCTGCCATTTTAAGCTTTTTCATGGCCGCGCACCGACCTTGCACACATGATGTTTGGGGCTTCACACACACACACACACACACACACACATTCTCGCTCTCTCTCTCTCTCTGTGACCCACGCGCACACACATAACGATTCTTGCTTCTGTTTTCCGCATGTAGGGAGCAGGTACAAGATTTGTCAGAAGATGTAGGAAGATGTACCCGATGATGACATCAAAAGGGATGCAATGTGCGTCGTGTGATGTAGGTCCTCTGTGACTTGTGGCGCGCGGCAGTGCGGGGCTTCGGCGCCCTGTTTTTTCTCACTCGCCCGGCCAGGTTAGCTAAGGAAAACCCTGCTCGCAGGATAGCGCTGTCGAGGGACGTAACTCACTCGCTCACTCAACTCAGTCACACACCCTTTCTTCTCGTTGCTAATGTGGTGAGCAACAACCACAACGCTGTGACGCATCGCTGGTTTGGCTGCAAGGTCAAGTTCCGTGGTATCGTGTTTTTTTTTGACACGCCAAACCAAAAAAAAAAAAAAAAAAAAAAAAAAAAAAACATGAAGAGAGCAAAGAAATCCAGCGAGCCAAGCCAGATCGACGACGCGACGTGTCGACTTTCTCTTTTGATCTCAAGCTTTCTCTGTCTGCCCCTTGTCTTGCGAAAACTCATTCTCTCCCAAAAAAAAATGAGAACCCTTGATATTTCCCTCTCTGCCATACTCAACTATCTGTCTTTCTTTTCTTGTTCAAACTCTCCCTCAAACTCTCTCTCAAACTCTCTCTCTCAAACCCTCTCTCTCTCAAACTCAAACTCTCTCAAACTCAAACTCTCTCAAACTCAAACTCTCTCTCTCTCTCAAACTCTCTTCTCAAACTCTCCTCTCAAACTCTCCACTCATCAGATTGATCGCCGGCAAACCACGTTTTTCCGCAGGATTCTTCACTCGAGCCTGTCCCCAAAACCTGAACGATAAACCCACACCAACATCACACGCAATACCCAGGAAGCTGAGGTCACGAGTGGGATTGATTTGATTTCCGCGGAGATGTGGGTCCGACACCATCCCAAACCCATCATTGGCCTGCTTTGCCGCTGTCAGCGCGCGCGCACGCGCTGCAAGGTCACACAAGCCATGCCGCCTTGCAACTCCCGCACGTGCAAATACACACACTGGGTCTGACAACAGATGGCACTCACACATACAAACAAGCACGCACGCCCTACTGAGCCACGGGTGCGCCCAACTTGTAACGGTAAATGTAGCGATCGGCATCGCCCTCGCCTGGCGCCGTCTATGTACTCGAGAAAAAAAAGAAAGAAAAAAAGGAAAACACACACACACACACACATACACACACACGCGCGCGTGTCAGTTGGTTGTCGAGATAAACCCGTCCTTCTTGAGATCGGGGTCAGAACCCACCTGAGCAATGGCGTTGGCCCAGAAGGTCATGCTGCGCATCTTCTTGCCCCACGATAGCCCCGTGGCGTGGTGCGCCTTGACATACTGCGCCAAGGCCGTCAACAGCTGCTTGTAACTTTGAGCCCAAGCTCGGTTTCCCCTGGGACCCACAAACCAGTCAGCGAGAGCGACATGGCCACCACATATACTACCGGGACAACTGGGCCCCACAATGTCAATCAGACGGGTTGGCTCGCCTTTCAGCGCATCACTCACTCATCAGGGCACTCCTTGGCGACACGGACGAGATAAAAGTCGGCCGCATCCCGCATCTCCGTCACAAAAGGCGCCGGTTTTGGCTCCTAGTAGCCCATCAACAAAGGTCAACCCCGCCACGCCCTCATCCTCTTTAGCCACGGCTCCCAAAAACACCACGCATCACGCCACGACCTACCACATTGATCCATGACATGGCCAAAATGCCCTCGCTCACAGCCTTCAGGTGAGATTTCTGGGCGCTGCCTCCCTTGGCATCCGCAAAGCCCTAAACATAGGCCGATGACCAAACCCGTTAGTAAGGCCAGGGCAGTACCGCTGTTCCGTTGGCTCGGTGTTGGCCCGACACTGCACCCCAGGGTGAACTTACTGCCACCTCTTGCACCGTCATTGTAATGGCCTCATACAGATCGGGCAGCACCTTGGGGCCCGGTTTTTGCGAGAAAGGAACAATGCCCAACAAGCGACGCTACGCAAAAAAAAACCCCCGTTTCATGGAGAAACTGAGAATCAAATCCAAACACCCAAGGCAAAGCACGGCGCAAGGAAGGACACACCAGCGCGACAAATGCTTGCGATACTAGCTGGCTATGCTCCTATACACACCAGCGATCGCGTGGTTAAGCCCTTGCAACCAAGAATCATGTCTTTGTCGCTGAGAAGCAGTAGGACGGAGGCTCGGTATGGTTATTCACCTTCACGTCGCCGCCAATCTGACCCGAAGCATCCATGTACGCCTTGAGCTCCCCCTGCAGCAAATCGTCAAAGGCGACGACCGCGGGGTGGTCGGCCTCGGGATCTCCCGACGCTGACAAGGTGCTTGGACGAGCCGCAGAAGCTGATGAGCCACCACCGTTTGAGGGTGATCCGCCTGTGGCACGTTCAATGCGCGCCGTAATCCGCTGAAGCTGCTCTGCAAGGTCCCCCGAAGCCCGGCCGCCTGCCAACCCCAATATTGTCATGCCGTTCTGCAAATGAGGTGCGAGCCATGGGAACCCCACGAACAGACGAGACACTCTAGACGCGACATATTGCAAAAACGCACCCTGGGCTGTCAGGCCAAGCACGCGTTCCAAGCGTGCCGTCACGGCAGCCAGACGTGGCAAGGCGTCAGCTAGCAATTTCAATGCCAACGGAATTACAGGGTCAGCATCACCAGGAACCCCGGGCCATTCCACACGAGCGTCAGCACTGCAGGTATCGTGTTGGCCCAAGCACAAACCCTCAATGCCATCGGCGGCTTCCTCCAGTTGCGTCACAATGCGAAGGAGGTCTGCTGCAAAGTCACCCGAGCCAGCTTGATCTACCTGCATCAGCATTCAGTCATTGCCAAAGAGCCAGTCACGTCAGTTACAAAAAAATAAAATGAAAGGTAGCATGTTTGTTCATTTCGTTTCGCTATTAACCAACCTGGATGCCATAGTGAGCCTTGCCGTAGTCACACACACGCTTCACAGCCTGACCGAGACGCTCTTGCAAGACACCTATGCGTACGTAAGAGGCACGACGAGTTTATGCAGACCCAAACAAGGAAAGATGTCAGAGTTTGCAACAATCAAGGCAACAACAACGCGCTCGAAGCACAAGTCGACACAAACGTCGGCCGAAACCATGGGATAAGGACCAACAATACATGAAAAGTGCAAGCACAGGACTGACCATCAACACTGGGCTGTGCCGGTGCAGGGGCGGCGGTCGGAGCAGCAGTTGGGGCCGGCCTGGGAGCCGCAACGGGCTTGGCAGCTGCGGCAGGTTTGGGAGCGGATGTGGTAGCCGGCTTGGCAGCAGGTGCGGCCTGGGTGCTTGTCGCGGTGCTACGGCGTTGGGTCTCGGGGGTACGCGGGGCCGCGGCAAAGTCTGCACGTATCACATCCGTGAGGTTGGTTTGCCTCATACATCCCGACTGAAAAAGTGGATCAATTCTGTGCCAGATGAGCCACGTACTAGTGCGATGCGACGTGGATTTGCGAACTTCCAGTTGCAGCGTGGGACGAGACGCCTTGACCATTGTCACAAACTATAGGGGGGTGGGATGAGAATTGAGTCAGGTTGACGGCGCACATGCATGCAAATGCTAAGACCCGCAGGAGAGGCCCAGACCTTGACTTGTGTCATGCCTGCTGTAGAATGACCATTGATGCTCAGGATCTGGTCACCGATGGCCAGTTCACCCTCGGCAGGCGACTGTGGGGTGATCTTGGACACCACCAACTATATAATATTGAAAAAAAAAAAAAATTAGGAAATTGGTGTGAGCCGAACAGCCAGGTTAGTTGCGAAGAAGAAAGGCTTGACCACATGCCACGAATAGACACTGGCCCAAAAAGGGGGGTTTCAGCACCATTGCACGTACCGCAGCTGGGTGGCCACCCGTCACATTGAAGCCAAAGCCACCGACGGCCGGCTTGGTCAGCTCGACATTTCTACAATGGTTATTGGCTTGATCAGCAATGATCTTGGAGCCATCGTGGCTGCTTGCGTGGCCGTCAAAGGACCACAAACAGCCAGCATCAATGAGCTAAGCACGTACCGTTGATCCGCCATGCTTGAAATGAAGCTTGGTCCCTAATGATAGACCAAACAGAAAAGCTGTGAGACCCACTGCCACATTTTACACAGAAAGGTTGAGCCTTTGCGTCCAACTGGATCCCCCCAAAATAAAGGAGCCTTCAAGAACGGCTTGATCAACAATGGCATGACGGTATCAGCAGGATTCAGAAGGCCCATGTTCACTGGCAATCCAGTAAACCAACACCATGATGGGACCAGCAATCGAAGCAGAGATACAGGAGCTGGCACGGATGCGCTGCCATTTATTCATTTTTACGCACTTGAAACGAAAAAATTGAAAAAATGAGAAAAAAAACTCGGGTCTGAAGAAAGTGTGTATATTGTCACAGTATAAAAGTAACCTTCACTGGTTTCGTAGAACGAACGAAATTCTTGATTTTTGGCGTTCTAGATGACAAATTTAACTTAAAAGAATGTCCTATGTTCCTCAATTTGCAGAATATAAGCAATCTCTAATCGTTTTATGTTAATAAATATTCATGTTTCTATTGCTAAAAACGTATTATCCAATGCAGATGACAAATATAATCATTCTGAAGATACCTCTCCATTTTTGTGGTATTTTTTTTCTTGTTTTTTTTTTTTTTTTTTTTCATTACAGTTAGGTCAGCATGTTGAAGTCTGTGCCTGCTCGCCCATCGACAAAGCTGGAGTCATTCATTAAGATAATCAGGGCGACGGTCCTGCGAGGCGTGCCTGCTTCTTGGACCCCCGCTTCTTGACGTCTCAATCTGATGATACGGATTGCAAAAGGCAAGATGCTCATTTGGCTGAGATTCAGCTTATGATTGGGATGTGTCGTGCCATCTCGAAGAACTTTGATCAAAGGTTTATATCATTTTCACAATTTCAATGACAGTATAATTTGCCTTGTTTCCAAACTTCAACATCAGTCGGGCCCGAGCTGCCTATGAAATACGGCACTCAGAGGCCGGGGCCGTGCTTGGAGAGGCTGGTCCGGTCGCAGGGTCTGTGTTGGTGGGTGATGCCGGCAGAGTGCGCTCAATGTCATCCGGGTCGACTTGGTCCGACTCTAGCAAAACAGCTGTCCGGGCAATCGTGTCCAAGCCACGAAAGAGCGCCGTCTTGACCGCTCTGAAGGAACAGATAGGCCGAGGACGGGAGGGAAGCCACGTGAGCGCGGGGCAAGAACGATGGAGGCAAGAGCCAAGACAATGATTGACTGACTGGGACAGGCTTGTGTGACGAGCCAATGATTGACGCGCCCTTTGAATAAGGGATGTTGGGTAACGCTCGCGCTCCCATTCACCGTCTACCCGGGGCATACCATTTGGGAAAAGAAGATTAGTGCTGAATCGCAAAGAATTAGAGAAAACGGACAGACGCCAGGCTCGAAGCAGCCCCGATGGTATAGTATGTGAAAATTGGCTGCACACACCTTCATGCACGTCAATCACAAGCAAGTGAAGGCACAGAATCCAATCTTGGCAGCCCAGCATGGAGCGCGCCAGATACCTATGCCCACATTCCCAGCAGTCGGCCCATGCGTGAGTGACCGGTTTAGGCTCCTTCGACTTTCAACGCCCCAAAACGCACGCACCGAACACGTTGGGTCTCATTGAGCATGTCGACCATGTCAACGGCGACGTCCCGGGTGGTCATGGCCGTGCCCAGTGCCGGAAAATCAGACAGCAAGTGGCTGAGCGCCACACCAAAGTCATCGACTCGGCAGTCACGGCTCGGGAGCCGGCTCACAATGCCGCGCAAATCCTGATCCAGACTCGCACACAATTGCACAGCCGTTACGAGTTGACCATGGGCCAGCAAGTACTTAGTCTGCGACATGATGGCGTCTTGAATGGCCTGGTGTTGGTGGGCATCGCCTGCGGGATCTTGCGTGGCCTGCGGCAATTGCAATAGCCCAGCAAAGGGAGCTCGGTGACACCCAAACCAAGAGCGCGGGCACGATCAACCCGAGGGAGAGTTGAAGATAGAGAGGCAGGCAGACAAGCAACGAAGATTTCCAAGGGCATCCCAAGCGAGAAGAAACAACACTCCACAAATGGGTGCACAGAAGTCTAAACACGCTCAAAGAATCAGAAAGAGAAAACGTACCATGAGAAAGCGAACAATGTCGCGTGACAATGCCCAGTTGCCGCGGCTCAAGGAGGCGCTGAGAAGTTGGTAAGAGTGATGGCGAGTCTGCTCGGCAGACACGCTGGCTTGCATAATCATGAGGTACGAGGCTGCCGTCACAAAGTCCTCTGCTTCAAGGCAGGCCTCAAAAATTGCCACGGGGCTGCCCGTGACGTCAAACAGAATGGACCACTTGGACATCTGTGCCATGCACAAGGGCGCGCCGTAAGACACTGACATCCCAAGCCGTTGGCTGCTTCTTTGTGCGAGTTGGTGCAGTCAAGGCGCCAAACTCACGTCGGTCTTGCGGGCACACTGGCCAACGATGCCCCGCCAAACGGGATACTGTTGCACAAAGGCTACCACGGCTGCTATCAGCGTCTTGCCATCTAAGAGCAGGCCAACATGTGGTGAGTCGTCTTCGCCGCGATCACATGGGAAAGCCAGAACTGGATTGAGCCCGCAATAAAAGCACGCACCGCCCAGGGGCCGTTCTGGATCATTTTCAATCACTTCGTGAAGCATGAGCTCCACCACGTGATTAAAGTACCCAAGCGACTGCAAGTCTTGTGCAATGAGATTGGCCGTGGCCAAAAATCCGCGCCGAAGCAGCTGCAAGTTCACCCAAACAAGGGACCGAGAAACGGAGCGTCATGTCGGTGCCAATGCCGAGGACAGGGGGCCTGTGAAACGTGCGCCGAGCAAAGACCCAGCACAAGGCAAACAACCAGTTTGCTTACGCTCAACAAGACGTGTTGCATAAAGAGTTGCGTGCGCCGTTTGAGCTGATGGCCCTCAAGGACCGTGTCGCTGTCAAGGTGGAGGGTGGTCTGGTCAACGGTCGCACCAACGGCCACCGCGTGGTTGAAGAGCAACGCCAGTGGGTAGATCATCGAAGGCATGGTCAGCATGAGCCGTTGGGCGTGTCGCTGATGCTCATTGACCGTCTTCATCCACACCTATGGGCGACACAGTCACCACCGTCAACCCCGGAGATGGATAGAGAATTGCCATGTGTTGGCAAGCACGTGTCCTGGGGCAATGTGGTGCAGAAGTCACAGCAAGAGAGCGGGTCCTCACCTTCAGGCCGGCGTTGCCACAGTTAAGCCACAGAGCAGAGGTAAGCATGTGATTAGCATGTGCATCAGGACGAGGCGCGAGCACGGCCTCGACATTTTGCGCGAGTAACACAAGGGGACCACGGCTCTGCACGTCCCAGGCCTCTTCAGCGTGAATCAGATCCAGTTGACAAGTGTAGAGATCGCCGTTGACTCGAAGCAAAAGAGTCTGAGTCGAGTCCTTAAGCGCAGACGCGGGCTCCTCGCCGAGGGTTTGAGCCGGGTCTTCGGCAGCGGTTTTTGCCTTGAGAGTTTCATCATCGGAAGGGTCGAGACTCGGGCCCAACATGACAGAGGCATGGGCATCGAGACGGACACCAGCTTCGAGTTGCAGATCGATGGCTCCGAGACGCTCAAGCCGATCCGACTCTGTGATTTGATAGAGCACCACGCGTTCGTTGGCCATCAGAGCGCAGACAAGATCTCCACTGACGTTCAGGCTTAAAACCGGCGCAGCCAGGTCAAGGCGAAACCCAATCTCTTGAATGCCTAGCTTGCGATCGAGAGGATAGACTTGCAGCTGCCATTGCACGCCAGCGGAATCTTCGCGTAGACGGGCCGGCACGATGAGCCGGGTCCCGTGCCAAGCGGGTGCCGTCATGCAACTGAAGGTGGCCTCTTGCGCTTCATTGCCAAAGAGCCGCCACTTGTTGCTGCTCAAAGCATAGACGGCAAAGCCTGGGTGGGTGTTTGCCGGCCAGGGGGAGTCAGGAATTGGGTGGTGGTGAGCAAAAACAATCGACGGGATTTGAGATGATCAGGGAAGAAGGTTGTTCTTGTCACGTGGGCCTTGTGGTTGCTCGATGGCACTTTGAGTGGGAGAAACAAGATACTGACCGGAGGTACCGGCCACGACCAGGTGCGAACTATCATCGGACAGCGTGGCAAATCGGAGAGGTGCGTTGCGGCCCGCATAGGCCTCGGCCACCTGCACAACAGAAGGACCAAAATGTGAGGGGTTTGCGCAGGTACCACAGAAAGCGTACAACCGTAGATTGAGCGGGAAAACCAAAAATAAAAAATAAAATAAAATAAAAATTTAAAAAAAATTAAAAAAAAAAGGCGCCCCCCCCCAAAAAAAGACGGATCAAGCAAATGCCAAGCTGTGGCTCCAAACACACCGTGATACGTCGCCAGGCGGCGCTACACAGCCGCTCGAGACTCTCGGTGGAGGTGAGATTTTGTTGGAGCTCGACGCTAATGTATACGGCAGAATGTCCCAGCAGCATTGCCTCGCTGGCGTGGGCCGCCGAGGCGGACTCGATGCTGGCAGAGCGACAGGTGCGGTGAGTCACGATGCGCAAGGGGACTCCATGCGCTTCGATGCCAGAGGCCGGTTCGAGCGAGGATTGCCAGCAGCGCAAAGCACTGCTGTAGGCGTTCCAGGTGATGAAGAGCGGGAGAAGGTGGTTAAAGGCCGGTAGCCGAATGGAGGCCAAATGAAGCCCATAGGTCGAAAAGAGCTCACAAGCCGCACCGGTAGCCACGCCCGCCAGCACGGCGAGGGCCGCTGCATCGTGGGTCCACTGCACGTCAAGACGGGCGGTGGCACTTTCGGGAAGGGCGGGCAAGAACTCATCAAGAACGAGGCGATAGAGGTGTTGCATGCCCTGGCTAGCACTGGCACCCAGCCGTGTGACATCAAGCGAGTGGCTACCGGGGCATACAAAGGCCACCAGGGATGCGTCTGGCGATACGGCAAACGCGCCACAACGCCCGGGCCGGATGCCTCGAGGGCCCGGGACACGCTGCGGGTGGTGGGTGGACGTGGGGTGAGCGATCGATTTCGTGCCCTTCATAGCAGGGTGATAGAAATCAGGGGCGGCGCGAGTGGGACAAACCGTGGTTGTCTTTTGCTCAAGATCAAGCTGGTACAGCACGGCACCGGCACTGGCATTTGTCAGAAGCGTGGACGCAGTGGAAACATAGACGGCTTTGCTGCAAACGGGGAAAGCAAGGGTGGTGAGTGGCTCAAGAGGTAGGTGCGGGTGCACTTTTCAAAAAAGGGGGAACGAGGCCCCAAGGGAGCCGCATCAGAGCCGAGGAATTTGCTGCTTTTGCTAGATGTAGCCGGCAGCAGGGGGACGCACCGAGAAGCATCGGGGACGGCATGGTCATTCGTCTGGGGGAGGGGGGAGGCCGGAACACCGGTGAAATTCCAGGCGTGTTGCAGGCGAATGTTGGCTAGCCATTGAATAAACTCTGCGTCCCCCTCCAGGGTGATGGCAATGACGTTGAGGGGCGTGGCAGCCAGTGCAAGGATTGGGGCTCGGCATTCGGCCACGATGGCAGCCTGAGTGGCTTCGTCAAAGGCGCAGTTGAGTTCAAAGCTGAGCAAGTCTTCGCTGTGGCCCGTTGAGGCCAAGTTGGAGGCTTGGGTTGTACTGAGTTGCCAACTGGGCTCTGGCTGGCGGGTGACGCGAAAAAAGAGTATTTTAAAGTGGGAGGTCGCGCAAGCCACTGATTGGCCGTCGGGATGCCAGACCAGGTGGGCAAAGGCTCCATGCTGCAAGGGGTAGCGGGCGACGGCTAGAAGAGCGGCAGCATTGGCATCCAGCAGGACCAGCTCGCGCTTGGTCAAAGCACACACCAGCCCGCCATCTGGAGCCAGTGCACAACCGATCATGGGACCGCTCAAGCCCAGGGCCTGAACACTGGGCAGACCGACGGGATAGTACATGGTGTGTTTGCGCCGGTCGGGATTGAGCGCAGATCACCAAGTTTCAACATTCAGGAGAATAAAGGGCCCTTGCCCCAGGATGGTGCAGGCAACGCCCAAGTTCAAGGAGGCAATCTTCAGCTCAGCCAGATCCAGGGCCGTGATGGTGCGATGCTGCACGAGCAGGCAAGTTGTGTCACGTCGGGCTCAAGTCGCTTGCAAGACTTCCAGTGCCCCACCTGCCTCGCGCGCCGCGACCATCGCCCACACCCAATGCCAAACAATGCACCTGAACCAAGATCACCCCTCCACCATGCCCCGTTCCGAGATCAACGGCGCCGCCCGTACCACCACCACCACCCGTCGCACGATGTCGTCTGCTCCGTCGTCTGTGTGTGTGTCGATGCGGCAAATCTTAAAAAACTTTTTTTTTTTTGAGCTTTTGGGCGTTCGTTCGGTTTCGAGGTGGAGTACCAAATGTAATGTCAGATCGAAGACAGATTGTTTAAAGTGTAGCATTGGTTGCATATTGAAAATGATGTATTTTAAAGAGGTTGTTTTAAATTATTGTTTCAGAGAATCAGAGACAGAAGTTGACGCGACGGTTAAAAATTAACCTTTTCTCTCTCATTTTGAATTATTTCGGACTTGTGTACCTGACGCTGCTGCTTGTGTTGCGGCGGGGTGCCGAGCTGTATTCTTTTTTTTTTTTTGCGCTGCCCTTCCCCTTCCCCTTCTCCTTCTCCTTCTCCTTCTCCGCTGGAAGACCAACGAGGCAAGACGCTGGAGTAGAGCTTGGGACCAGGCAGTGACAGTTTGCTTTTTCAAAGAACATTTATTTCTAGCCCCTTGGGCGAGCATTGCCTCTCGCCATCCTCGCCATGGCCGAGGTGATTGATCTGACCCTCGACGATGCCGTGGCCGAGGACCCCGAGATCTTGATTCTTGATGAGGACAATGAACAGTCGCTTACCCCGTCTTCGGGCTGGTGTGTGCTGCCGCGTGATTGATGCTTGGCCCTTTCTGTATCTTGCTTGGCCTCGGTTGACTCACCCTGATGTCTGAATGCTTCAGGGCCCAAAGAGGAGAACCGCCGACAAAGAGGCACCGAACTTCAAACGCACAGGGACCGGCCAACCAAGTCACGCCCCACCAGGCGCTGGCACCACCAGCAACTCCCGTGGCCGCTCCCCCCAAGCCTGTGCTTGGGGATTGCCCCATCTGTTACGACCAGTTTATGCCCGACCGCATCGACATTGCTGTTTGCTGTGGCAATGCTTTCTGTACCAAGGTCTGTCTGTTGCTCTGACTTGTTGCTCCACCAAACCCCGCCCAAGCTGTGCTACGCATGATGCGGCTGCGCTGCCCACATTACGAGTGTGCTCATCTCGCTTCCTTCTCTCCTTCTTTTCGTCTTTTCCCGTCGTCCTCCTTCCTCTTGGTGCCTCCTCTGGTTCAGTGTGCCAACAAGTTGAAGAAGCGCAAGGAATCATGCAGTTTATGTCGCAAGAAAAAGTTCAAGTCGATCAAGGTTCACGGACTTGAGCCCCGCTGAGCGACTTTGGTCTCTGGGTAGTACAAGCCTTGGACCGCTGCACATTGAATAACATATTGGCGTGCACGCCCCAGGAACACGAGTCTTGGATTAAATGGAGTGTGTATGTTTGTGTGCGTGCCTCTGCGTGTTTTGTGAGGCTGTTTGAGCACACCAGGCTGCCCCGGCTCTGTGTGTGTGTGTGTCACTGCGTGACCTTGACTCTCAAAACCATCAACGTTCAAGTGCATACCTATGATTCTTCCCTCACGTCGTCGCTGCTCTTTTCTATTGCTCTGCCCCTTTGACACATCTCACTCCATCATCCTCATTGCCGTACAATCCCGAGCTGTGCCGCTAAAAGCGACTTGTGCACAGCAAGTTGACCGCCGTCGCCACCATCCGAAAAAAAGAAAAAAAAAGCCGCTTCAAACCGCTTTGCCGGCTCGATTATAACATTCCCCCTGGTACATAAAGTCACAACAATTTTGTCTGACGTTTTCTTGCTGCTGCCACTTCTCCTCCAAACAGGATCAGCGGCGATCACACACCAACGTCGCGATACATGCGCAGCACCAGCTAAATCGCCACACACGCATGACATGTCAGATTGTCAGATCTTTTACTCGTTCTGCAGACCCACCTATCTTCATTTACTTGATCATTTTCGCCACGAACCCGCTCACCATCAGCCCGTACTACCCCTTGGCTTGACGCCGGTTTCGACAACAACTGGCATTACAGCTACATAAAGTGAGTCAACGCCCCCGCAGCATGCGCCAGCAGGTTCCGCGACTTGGCGCGCGAAACGCGAACGAACACATGAAAACGGCAGCGAGTCTTGACCGACGGATCAGCCCTCAACGCCACGGCCAGATGCAGAAGAGACCATGAGAACACGCCCTCCCCACTGCACTTTGCCTTCTCCACCCACTGGCTTCTCGTTCTTGGTCCTTCCCTTCTTTCTCTTTTTCTCGGTTGTGTGTTGTTGCGCAGTGAGCGAGCACACGCAGCGCTTCTCACATGACCCGACCCGCATGCTCGCTTCTCGTGGCAGCCGTTTGACGACGACGACGACGACGACAACGACGCTCTTTTCCCTGGTCTTGCTGACCCAGGCTGCACTGCGGTGGAAACGCGGATACTGCTGTCGGGCCATTCTGCCGCAGGCGCGGCAGTCGTGACCCCATTGCTCGTCTTTCCAAGGTTGGCTCCGAGCGAATTCAACTGTTCCTGGACTCTGTGTGTGTTCAGTTTGCTCCGCGCTGCATGCTCATTCTCACCACTACCGTGCCGCTGACCACATTGTATCCCAAACATACACGCTTTTCATACACGCTGGGACAGGCATCTTGTTTCTCGTGAACAACCTTGATCATGCTTGCCTTTAATCTGGGCACGACCGTGCTGCTGACGGCCTTCACCTCCTGGGCTGTGACCGTTTACTATCGTCACCTCCACCCTCATCTGGAATATTTCACAAGCCCCAAGGCGCGGCCCATCCTGCAAACCCTCTACGAAGTGCGTGAAAATTTTGGACAATGCACCTCAAGTCGCCCATGCGCCTGCCCTCGGAAGCCTGCTTTCTCGGACTCACCCCATGTCGCCCCTACTTGCTCCCGCTGCCGAATGCTGCTGCCCCACAGAGCTGCAACGCGATTCATGATTACGCCCCCACCCCGTTTCACTGGATTGACTTCCAGGGCACCCTCTCCACCGTCATTCCCTTCTTCTTCCGCTACACCTCCCTCTTTCCAGAGTGAGTTTTTGCTCAAGCACCGGCTCATCACGGNCCCACCTCATGTACATCGTGGGCCCGCTTGTTGCATGACTCATAGATATTATCGTGAGCTGCTGCCGATGGAAGACGGTGGCACCATTGGCCTGGATTGGGCTGTTCCCCTTGAAGAGGTGGCCAAAAGTGACCGCCCTATTGTGATTATCCAGCACGGCCTGGCAGGCTCCTCGACCTCCATGTACGTGGTGGCTGCCGTGCGCACGCTCCTGGCCACCAAGGACTACATTCCCGTCGCCATGAACGCGCGGGGTTGTGGCGGTGTTCGCCTGACCTCCAAGGCCGTCTTTACCGGAACACGAACCGAAGACTTTGAAGCCTGCCTGCTTTACATCCGTTCCAAGTACCCCAACCGTCGCCTTTACGCCGTCGGCTACAGCCTCGGAGGCGCCCTCACGGCCCGCTACCTCGGCCTGCGGGGCAAGCAAGCCGTCATTGATGCCGCCATCTGCATCAGTCCACCTTGGAACTACCATGTCAACACGCCTATTTTTGGTTTTTGGTCTCGCACCCATCTCGTCAAGGGTCTCAAGGACTACATCCGTGACAACCGCACTGAACTCGAGCGCTATGCTCCAGAGGTACGTCGCGTCTTTTGAAGCTGTGGACCTTGTCTTGCTTTCCAGCAGCTCTCCAGGGCTGAATTCCCCGCCCCTTCTCCTGTGGATATTGATTGTTTTTTCCTTTTATTTCTGATATTTTTTGGCTTATTATTTCATCGTAAACGCGTCTAGCCATTCCTCTCACTTCGACTTTTGCTTGTCAGCTGGACCTTAACAAGCTGTTAGCTGCACGTAACGTGCGCGAGTTTGACTCGCATGGCGTTGTGGCCCTCAAGGAGTTTGATACGGCTGATGAATATTACACAGAGGTATGTGTCAAGACATGCAGACTTTCTGCCCCTCACACGCTTCATGTCTCATGCCGAACCGTGTTTCTTTTTCTGGGCCAAACCTGCGCTCAAAATGAATTCAGGCATCGCCCATTCATCTGGCACACAACATTTACGTTCCCACCCTGGCCATCAACGCCATGGACGACCCCGTTTGTGCTGGCAAGGCCACACCCGATCCGGAGCAAATGGGACCGGGCCTTATCCTCGTTCGCACTCGCACTGGTCAGTCCCTTGTCTTTGACCTTGATGAGCCTGGGAATATGAATAAATTCTTGTTTGGTGCCCCTGTTTGCCACTTCCAATCGCTCATGGCATGCACCTGGCAGGTGGACACGTCGCTTTCGCCGAAGGTTTGGTCCCAGGCACAGAAAGCTGGATGGAGCGTTGCATCGTGGAATGGCTTGAGTCTTGCCAGCGCCACCTGTAACCGACGACCTGTCCACTTGGTTTGGTGTTGAAATTGTGTCCGTGTGCACTGTCGTTGTGATTGGGACTTGTTGTAGTTGCGAAACCATCCTGGACTGCTGCGCTGATCTGTTGGTTCGTGATGCGGCCTCTCCCCCACGGCGTGTGGCGGAATGGCCACCGATCCGTGTTTGACAATTTTTTTGCCCTTTGTAATTTTGTTTTGTGCAATTATGATGGACAATTATTCCCTTCTACTCACGCACCACCACCCAGCACCACGACCGCATGAGGCCTGAGCGCCATTACGCAGCGTCGTCGTGTGCGCGCTTACCCGGGGGATGTGCCCCCGTGCGCATACTCCAGCCAGTGTGATGCGTCGAGTTGAGGAGAGCTTGCACTCGCTCTGGCACCACACCTCCACCTTCCGCATTCAACACAATTCGCAAATCAGGCTGCACGACAGCCGTCAGCTCTTGCCCTGCAAGTAGAGCCATAACGGGGCACACCAACAGTCACCATGAGGGACCCACAGATATCGGTTGACCATGCATGAGAATTCGAATGTGCGACCACACGACCAGACCGACCTTGAAAGGAGAAGCGCACACCGCACTGGCTCGTCAGCTGCGTCACAGTCGCATCGGGGTCGGCCGTGGCCATGAGCTCCTTGACCACGAACGTTTGACGAAGAATGCCAAGCTTGGACTGCAGCTCAGCCAAGGTGGCATAGCAGCAGCCAAGCACTCGGGTCGATGGGAGGGCCAGGGGCTTGGCCGCATCCTCGGTGGCAGAAGGCACATTCTCCGGCTCACTTGCAACGACTTGCTGGTGATCCCACCCCTCGAGCGGTGCTGCTACGTCAAAGGGTCTATACAAATGCACGTCCCAAAAGCTTTTAATGTCTGCAGGGTGGCTCACGACGCCCGACGAAGCTTCATCATCTTCAGACCCCCAACAATCCCAAATCGTACCGATGAAGTCGTAGTTCAAAGCAGAAGGCCTCGCAAGTCTTGTCTTGACCATCAGAATCTACCGATACGTCCACACAAGCGGCAAGGGTTAGTGCAAGTGGCGGCATGGAGTGACACACACACACACACACACATATTGAAGGTGCAAGTGGCAGCAGGGTGTGACACACCTTTCCACTGAGCCGTAGGTCCGGGGCGCTCGGGGGTATTGGCCCGGAGCGCAACGGTGCCTGTCACTAGCGATGGGAGTTGTCCAGGCCATTCAACACCACTGGTGCTGATTCGGAGCTCATCAAGACGCGATTGCCACAGCGCCACGTGCGTTGCCATTTCTACCACGTTTGCAAAAAACGCGTTGAGGCTAAGGTCCGCTTCAGTGGCAACAAGCATACGATTCGGATCACGTTGCAGGGGAAAACATACTGTGCAAAGGGGTGGCATACAGGCCTTTTGCAAAAGAGGCGGCCTGTTTTGTCTCTGCGCCCAATTCCTGCAGCTGTGCAGCCATGGCGGCCCAGGCTGCAAACATGTCCACATGATTATCCTTTGGCACACCTGAATAAAGGCCATCCAGCAGCTGGATGTACTCATGAAGAAGTAGCTGGCGGCCTCGTTGGAGGTGAGCCAGCAAGAGCGGGTCCTGTATGTGCCAAAAAGGCGGTCATGAGCTTGATGGCTGTCCCCACATGTGGGGTATGAAATCAACATGGAGGGCACCCGGCACGCCCACCTGCTCCTCAATGAGGACGTTGCCCGTCTCTTCGTCACACACGTGATAGACCTTGAACTCGGTGACGTCCTTGGTCATGGCATGATACTTGAGCTGGTGCACAACGTCCAAGGCGGGTATCAGCAGATGTCCCAGGAAAGAGGCACGCCAGTCGGTAGCTGTCGATACGGCAGCACCATTTAACATACCTCATACATGTAGCGCGTGGTGGAGACGTAGGCGGTTGTGAGGTCATCCTCGGGCGTTAGCTGACAGGTCACTGAGTTGAGTTGCTTGCACACGGCTTCAAGCCATTCCACGTCGAGCGTGGCCTTTTTGGCGGGACGGGCCGCTTCAGGGTCGTGCCAGCCCGCCAAGAACTGTTTGACCCCTGCACATGGCGCCAGGACACAAAACCATCATGGGAGGGTCAGCAAAGAACGAAGAGGACCGTGGTTGGTAGTGCAGACTGCCCGCCACTTGCCTTTGGAAGCAGCCGCCTGCAGGTACTGCTGCAGCGTCTTGAGCTAAAGCACGCAGACAAGACAAGTGAGCTGAGCCATGGTTACAATTTTTCCCCAGCACTGGCGTCAGTGTGACTAGATCAGCCAACCGCCCGCCAACTACTTCTGACCCTGTTGCCCCTTGTTCTGGTGCGTCCTCCTGCATCCCACACCCAGCCCAAGGCCCGAGCTCTGCAACAAGGCGCACTCACATCGACCATCGTGTCCTGTTCCCCTGCACACTGCAGACGTTTTGAGCCCCTGAGAGAAAAACACCACACACACACACTTTCAAAAAAATTTAAAAAAAAAAAAAACTGTTCAACACAAAAAACTCAAAAAAACTCAAAAAAAAACTCATGAATTTTGAAAGATGCATCTGATCCGAGTTGATCCGAGTTGAAGGAGGATAACATTATACAGTCAAGAAGGCAAGAGAGTTTGGAATGCAAAGACTCTTGAGTGTTGGGGTTGGACGTCGTAGTAACAGGTAACGTGTAAATTAATGCAGAAAGGGCAAGGGCAGAGAGGCAGCTTAGACGACGCTGTACTTGGCTAACTGTTCCAGATCATCAGCTCGGGTGGGCGGGTGCTCAGTGAGGGTGGGGCCAGCAGGCACGGCCGCCGCTGGGTCTTTGCTTGCAGCTACTGGGGCAGCAGCAAAGGGCACTTTTTCCATGGTCGTGATGTACTGCGCAAGTGAGAGCTGCACGGTATCGGGAAAGTGATCCCAAGCCATTCCTATCGCAAGAGGCAGAAAAAAAAGGGGGGAAAAAAAGCAAGGTGGGCTTGGCGTACGCACAAAATGGACGTATGCATCGGTATGAAACGATGTACGCACGCGGATGTACAAAGACCGTGTCGAAGCGGCTGCGGTCAGCCCAGTATGCATTGTATTGCCGCCGGGCACGGCGCATGATCCTACATTTACAGCCGGACCCCATGATTTGGAAACTGTCCACAAACACGACATGCCGGACTGCTCGTGCACAACACCGCACACATACTTGTGTTGTGAAGGCCGTGCCTTCATGAGATGAATAATGCGACCAGGCAGGCAAAGCCGTCTGTAGATGAAGTATTGAGACAGATGCACACCATTATGGCTAGCGGTGAAAAGCCCAATCAAGGCGGTACAGCAATATAAGACATGTGCCCACGTACTGGACTTTGGAGAGGCGTTCTTTGGCCGAAAAGTCGACACCGGCTGCTTCGGCCGCCTCCCACCAATGTTCTTTGAGAGGCCATCGTCCAAAGCACTGCAAATCGCCATGACACCCCCCCCAAGCAGACGAGGCACATTATTGCGTGAGCACACGAAAATTCAAGCAAAAGCCGGCGTGGTCGAAAAGCAAAAAGCAACGCACTGCAGTGGCACGCCATTTGGTTGAGGAAGAGTATGTCAGAGCAAGATCAATCTGGTGTTTGAGGCGCAGCAGGGCAGGCGTGCCGAGACGCGCGACTAGGTCGTGTCCCACGGTCAGGCCAGTCACAAAACTTGCACAAGCCTCGGCCACCTCCTTCGAGAGCACAGGAGCAGGGCTGTAGGCATAACAATGCACCTCTAACATAACAACGTTTGCCAGGCATCAGACCAAATGAGAAGCGCGGCACCATGCGAGTCGCAGGCGCTAGTCGGGCAGCTCACACCAGCTGACGTACCTCCCAAATAGGGCATGTCATGATTCCGCAGCTGCACGGCCAACAGGGCCGACGCGGCAGCACCGAGAGAGTGACCGCAGATCAAAAGACTGGCACAGCCACAAAGAAAAAAGGTGAGCTTAACCAAGAGACCGATCAGAATGAGGATGGGAATGCCATCGGACCAACCTGTAGCCATGGAGCTCGGGTTTTGCACGCATCAACTCATCAAATAGACCAGAGTCAAACAGTCGACGCCGGACGTTGCAAGCCGACTCCCAAATACCGGCGTGGGTGTGAAACTCGCCAAATCCCTTGGCTGAGGCCTTGATTGTTTTGGCCAAGCCATCCGTCACGAGATCGCTGACGGAGAGCGAGCCCCGGAGAGAAAGCACGAGGCGGCGATTCTCGTGGTCGGCGCCAAGAATGAAGGGCAAAATGCCGACTTTGTTTTGCAAATCACCCGCCAAGACTGCGTCGTCGACCACATGCGTCTGTTCCCCGACATTCAACCAGAACGTGAGATCTAGACGATGGCAAGCAAAGCAGAAGGGGGGCCTGCAGGCCTGCGTGACACGGCTAGCGTGCAAAAGCATTTCGACGCACCCCGGCAAGATAGGCTGCAGTGTGGCAGTGGCAGCAGCACCAATCATTCTGAACACGTTGCATATTGCAGCAGCATTCGCGACTGCAACGGCCTGCCTCACGAGCATTCCAGTGCATCCACTCAGTCAGTTTGATGAGGACGGAAGCGCTGGAAAATGAATGGCCGGTCTACCTACCCAGCATGTGACCCAGCGCTCGCGGCCCTTCCAAATAGCAGAGAATGGGAAAGCCGAAAACACCCAGGGCAAAGGGGAGAATCTTTTGCATGTCACGAAGTGGTACGTCAGGATCATCGGGGTGCAGAAGAGGGCCCTCGGGAACGTAATCCCAGGGCCCGCTGTCATATCGCTGCAGCTGCTGCCGACCCAATTCGCTGTGCAGAGGACAGTGTGAGCCATCTTGAGCCGACAAGACGAGCAAAGCAAGCTCGAGGTTCTTACCGACGAAACTTTTGATACTCGAAAACAAGTCGAATGCCCGCAAACAAGTCCGAGGGAGTGTACATCTCGTCGTCAAACACCTGTAGCAACAACGTCCCATGCGGGATCAAGCGTGACGGGTGAGCAACGGCAAGGCATGACGCTCTTTTTCGGAACACGACAATGGGCTGGCAGGGCTGGCCGCACCGTGGTGAAGACCTGGGCCAGCTCTTGCCAAATCTCCTTTTCGGGAACATTTGCACAGCAGCAGAGGCCTTGTAGAAGCTATCAGCAGATGCAGGTAAATGGGCAGCCAACGTGCAGCGTCCATCAAGAACCCGCGTGAGGCGGGCATTGTTTCGCAAGCAACCACGCATGACATGATCAAGCAGCGGCCAGGCGCACCCGACTCCAGCATAGACCGCCACGAAGTAAATCGCCTGGGTTGCTCATAGATCCGTAGGAGTCGTTGTTGCGGGGATCGGAGGAGGGAGAATAGATGGCCGAGTCACGGCGCTGCGTCGAACAAGACATGGGGGGGGGGGGGGGGGGGGGGGTTTTTCTTAAATTCCCTTGAATTCCAAAAAAAACTTAAAAAAAACTCCCCCCCCTTTTAAATTTTA